GGGGGCGGGGGGGAGGAAATAAAATTCTGCCCCGGGCGCCCATAGCTCTGGTTACGCCACTGAATACCGATAGGCACAATCTAAAAAAAAAGGGACAAAAAATGGTACAAACTGCCATGATACCTGTGCACTATACCCAGTCAGTATAATTTGATAGGGAGTACTGCTGCTGATAACCTCAGGCTTGTGTTTAAATGTTTCCCAAATGTTCTGTTGGGGGGTACTTATGTGTCATGTGCTAAGCTGTGTATATCAAGCCAAAAAAGCTCCAGGGACCGGTCTAGCGGCCAAGCGGGACTGAGGATTGGGTAAATTCCTAGTTTTGAATAGTGTGAGGAAGGATTAGAACGCTTGTCAGGCTTTAGAGCTCTTTAGGACTCTGTTAGAGAGATTTACCTTTTATTCCTGTCATGGTGAAAATGTTTTACAAGACAGGAAGTGACACATACAGAAATAAAAATGCTTTCTTTAGTAGAGTAGGGAGGGTCAGAACCCCTGTCACATTTGTAATGATGTCTGTGTCCCTTTTGCAGATTTTCCCTCACTTCCTGTCTGGTTAAACCATTGTCAGCAGGACAGGAAGTAAGTGTAAATCTCTCTAACGGAGCTCTGGAGGGCAGTAAACCCTTCCTAAAAGAATTACAGAGGCTTCCATCATTCTGAAAATACAAGTCACCTGACCGTCACCTAAGCCCGTGTTGCACTAGTGATTGTGTCGCTGGCAAGAATTCACCAGCCCTCGCCATCTCGGTGAGCAAAGTGTCCCTTCCTTGCTGACAAAAAATGCTCCGTAACATAATTCACCATCGAGAGAGCGATGCCTTGCTCACCCAGCCAGCGAGAGAGCGATGGCTTGCTCACCCAGCCAGCGAGAGAGCGATGCCTTGCTCACCCAGCCAGCGAGCCAGTAACACACATAAAGCAGGCGAGTACTTATTGCCCTATTGTGTCTTGGCCAGTTTGCGTCAGTGTCAAGATTCCTAGTTAACAGGGGCCTAATGCCGACCCTCACTGACCTGAACCAAGTAGCCAGGAAATTCAGAAGTCCTGATCCACATACTGGTTCTGAGTTAGTGACTCAAAGAACTAAAGCCAGAGGGTCAATGTGACAGCCAGTGTCACTTCAATTACAGCTTTGAGGCTGCTGACATTAAATCCAAGATGGCTTTGCCCAGCAGCAGTCCCGGGGCTTTTGGGTGTCCACACAAGGGAGGCTTTTGCAGGTAAATAACATGCATACAATGCGTTACATGCACATATAGGCCAATGGGAAGATTGTTGAAATGAACGGCCTGGCCACAGCTTTTTTAGAAAACGTTTGGTGAGAGAAATATGTGGCCTGATTTGCTGAGTACGAATACTGATACTTTACCTCAAGTACTCGCCGATACCAATTACGATACCTTTTTTTTAGTGTCAGGTGACAGTCTTTCCAAAACAATACAGACGAATGATTTTAGAACAGTGGTGAAGTGCCAGGGCCCGGTAACCCTGCAACCCTGGTAGTTCTGCCACTGACCCTAAGCTGTAGAGGGACTACAAATCCTCGCAATACATTATACAGCAATGCAGAATACTACCAGCTATAGAGAACTACAAATCCCAGCAATACCTTATATAGCAATGCAGAATACTACCAGCTAGAGAGGACTACAAATCACAGCAATACATTATATAGCAATGCAGAATAATATAAAGCTACACACTCTGTGTTGCTTACCAGGGCTATGTGCAAGGTCTGACCTGGGCTGCCTACAGGGTCTCACCTGGGCTGCCTGTGGGATCTCAACAGGGCTGCATGAGGGGTCTCACCAGAGCTGTGTGGGTGGGTGCGTGCGGGGTCTTACCAGAGCTGTACGGGCGGGTGTGAGTCTCACCTGGGCTGAGCAGGCGGGTGTGGGTCTAACCAGGGCTCCATGCAGGGTCTCACCAGGCTGTGTGGGTGGGTGCGGGTTTCACCAGACCTGTGCGGGTGGGCGGAGGTCTCACTAGGGCTGTGTGGGTCTCACCATGGCTGTATGGGCAGCGGGAAGGAGGAGATGTTGAGCTGGCTGTTGTTTTAATAGGCGCTGCAGGGTCCCCACAAGGCTGCAATGAGGTACCCAGCAAGATCGGGACCTTATAACTGTCGCTTCTATTTAAAATGCAAGGTTCCGGTATCGGTTTCTAGTATCGGGGCTTTGTGACGAGCAGGAGTACTTGTGAAAATGCCCAGTATCAGCACCGATGTGCATCCCTACTTCTAAGCATATTCATATACGATCAGATGGCTAAATCAGCTGTGCCAAAATTGACCGCACAGGGGGTGAAAGTGTCTCTGGCAGTCAGAATTAAAGCTCCACTCAAACATCTAAATACACAGATAAGATACAAGGCCGCTATTTTACCTGCCAAAGGGTTTGTAATTCTGCAGATCCAGTTTATTGATTTACACAGTCCTACCAGCCAACACAGCCAGGTGGATTACACTTTCTCTGTTACAACAAAAGACTGTAAAAGAAATACAGAAGTATCCTCGCTCCACCCCCAGCCTGCTGATTGGATAGTAAATGAGCAGCCTCAGACTGATGAGGTCTCATCTTTATCTTCACTCTGCTCTCTTCTCCTATCAAGATGTTCCTTGTCAGCATGTTTACATGCGTAACACTTGATTATCTCACAGTCCTGCCCCAATCTGAATGTTGCTGTATAGAGGATTGCAGGAGGCTGACACCAAATTCAGGTACTTATATTAGTTGCATACAATAATTTGTGCCTGAAGCTCAGCTTTAAAAAGTGTGGGATGGAGAGTCATCCTGTCAGTTATTGGCGTCTCCATACAATCAGTGTACCTGTCCCCATGTGATCCAGACGTTCTGTCCTAGCTATAACAAGGCTGATATTGGAAATGTCACAGTGCTCTCACTGAAAGCTAAACACCTTGGAGGGAGTAAACATAATACATATCCAACTGCCTGAGGGAAATGTAGGATGGCTGCCTTATGCTCGGCACACACCTTACAACCATGGCAAGACTTTTGTCTTGCCATGGTTGTAAGGTAATCAAGAAAACGTACGATCTGCCTATCTTGGACAGGCAGAACGCACTTGCGATGATCGCAAGCCACGCCCCCATGAGGAGCGAGCTTCCGATGACGGCAATGCTGAACGGGCAGTGTGCGCTTGCGCACACCGGCCCGTCTGGCTTTTATCTTACGAACATGCTACACATCCGCCGAACATCGTACGATGCTCTGCGGGTTTTCGAACATGTTCGTAAGTTTAAAGTCGTGCGACCTTACAGTAGTAGAGGTCGCACGGCTTCCACACACCTTACGATAATCGTACCATCGCGGGATTTCCCGTGATTATCGTACGATTATCGTAAGGTGTGTGGGTACCCTTATAATGCTGTAGTGTTCCAACTGGTGTGAAGGGCTTAAGCAGTGCTCAGCACAGGGAGTGTAGGCTGCATGGTTATTTCAAGGAAATATGGACCAACACAAATTGGGAGGCTGCCATTGTTGGCCAATACTTTGGAAAACTCTAGTTGCCTTGTTATCATGTTTATTCATTGGCCCAGGTGAAGTATGCAGATTAGGCATTCTGCTTTATGCTAATTGTAGGTCAGGATTCAGCAAGCCTTGAACGCAGAGACTGCCAATATATCGAGCATTTTCTGACCACTAAGGTAATAGGGCCTCTTTCCCACTGGTCAGCAATGAAAGGGAGCACAACTACACTGACCACCAATGTAAAGGAGCCCTTCTCCCATTGGCCACCAGAGTAAGGGAGCACTTCTACACTGACCACAAACATTAGGAAGCCCTCTTCCACTGATCACCAATGTAAAAGGAGCCCTTCTCCACTGGACACCAATGCAAGAGTGCACTTCTCCACTGACCACTTATGCGCTGGATCACTTCTTTCCTGACCACCAATGTAAGGAGACACTTCTCCCCTGACCACTAATGTAAGGGGGCACTTCTCCCCCGGC